TACGTTACGTTACGTTCGTCGTTCTTCCCTCCCCTCCCCTCCCCCCCCCCCCCCAACACCGCCAACATGCACTTCAACACCATCGCCACCTCCGCCATCCTGGCCACCGCCGCCTCGGCCGCCGCCGTCCTCCCACGCCAGGCCCCTGTCCCCGAGCCCATCGCGCCCAACAGCGTCTTTGAGCTCGTCGCCCTGCGCTCCGCCAGCGACGTGCACTTCACCTGGGTCAGCGCGGCCGACAACCGCCTGTGGCTCAAGCTCGCCGACCAGAAGGCCAGCTGCGACAAGACCAGCGACGGCAAGGCCCAGTTCCGCCTCATCGACGGTGACCTCCTCCTCTACAGCACCTCGTACTCGCAGCAGCAGATCTGGGTCGACGCCTCGGGCATGGGCCAGGGCATCACGGGCTACACCACGGGCGTCCAGCCCATGCCCTCGCGCTACAGCCAGCGCGGCCCCTTCGTCTTCGACCAGTACAACAACCTATCCCTGAACAACACGGCCGGCTTCCTGGCCTGCCCCATGCCCGACGGCGTCTACCGCCTCTGGACCAACGCTGGCGTCGCCAAGCCCGCTGGCAGCGAGGGCTGCCTGCCGGTCTCGCTCCGCGCCTCCCCCGTCAGCGAGCCCAACAACTGCCTGTACAGCGACGCCCCTGCCCCCTCCTCTTAAGGGGTTGTTGGTCTCAGACGGATGAAGCGTGACTGTATCGGGAGGGGATGCTCCCGACGCCCGGTGAAAGACAATGTACCCAGTCATTGATGAGGAAACGATTGTGTTTCAATATTTAGACATAGACAATGCGAAATTATGACGTTTTGCATACCAACTACGTTCTCACCATGCCGCTAATACTTGATGTTGGCGCCTTGCCAGGCGTCTTGATTGACTTTGGTTCTTGTTCCTCAATGTACACAAGGTCATGATTGGTCTATTGTGTCAAGTAGGTATCTGAACTGACCCGGATATTCGCCGCCTGTCACCACGCGACGCTGGCAAATCGAAGCTGTCGACCCAATTGAGGCAAATTTTGGGAGGTGGACCACATGAGGAAGGAAAAAAAGTCATCCGGGAAACAAGAGCCAGAATACAGACGGTTTGCAACGATGCGCCGTAATCAATAAAAGTAAACGATTGAGCAGCCAAAGAGCCGTTTAGCCCTCCTCGGCGTCCATACCGTCGTGACGTCTCTTCGTAGCCGAACCGCGCTTGCGGCCCTTGAGCACTGCGCCCTTCTTGCCTCTGTCTTCGTGAAGCTCTTTCATCTCGTTTCGTGCCACGCGCTGGGCCTCCTCGACACGCTCCTTGAAGACCATGACTTCCTCTCTATCCGGCTGGTACGTCGGCAGCTTGCGCCCGTCTAGGGCGGCTTTCTCTATCCGCATCCACAACTCGACGTCGTACTGCGTAACAATCGAGATGGCCCGGCCCGAGCGGCCGGCTCGTGCTGTCCGACCGACACGGTGGATGTATGTCATGCTGTCTCCAGGAAGGTCGTAACTGGGAGTTGTGATATTGCGTTAGTTTACCGAGTCAAGTATATCAATCGTGCATTGCCTTTTTCACAGGCTGTCTGGGGCTTTAGTTTGGGTTGGGCTCTCACTTTATGACAAGCTATGAGAGTCAATCATTTGTTAGCGGATCTAAGCTCTGAATGATAACGAGGTAAATCAAAGCTGGCACGGAACAACATGGGCGAAGAGGCACATACGTCGACTTCCGGAATATCCAAACCACGCGCTGCAACGTCGGTAGCAACAAGAATATCGCGTGACTTAGCCTTGAACTTGTTCAGCGCGCCCAGGCGCATGGATTGCGACAGCTGACCGTGCAGTGGGATGGCGCCGAAGGATAGTGTGCGTAGCAGGATTGATAACCTCTGCGCCTCGTTGACGGTGCGGGTAAAGATGATGGTGGTCTGACCGGCAAACTCGTTGACCAGGTAGATGAGATAGACGTCCTTGTGCATGTGTGGTATGATCAAGGGGTTCTGCAGAAGCGTTGCGACTGTTTTCTCGCGCTTTGAGCTAACGCTGACTCTGAGCGGATCCCGCAAGCTAGCGCGTTGCAGACTCTCGACCTTGGAACTCATGGTTGCCGAGAAAAGATATGTCCGCCGCTCGCGGGGCAGGAACTTGAGGATCTTGTCGAGGATGGGGCCGAAGTCGAGGTCAAGCAGGCGGTCTGCTTCATCCATGACGAGGTACTTGAGCGAGCGCAAGCTAAACCCCTTGGTCTTTTCTAGGTGGTCAAGCAGACGACCAGGAGTGGCAACAACGACGTGTGGCTTCTTTCCGAGGGCGATGGATTGTGAGACCATGTCCAGACCACCGACCACGACCGCGCACCGGAGTGATATCAGCGAGCCCAGCGCCTCGAAGGCCTGGCCGATCTGTGCCGCTAGCTCTCGCGTCGGGGCCAGGACGAGGCCGAAGAGGGGCTGCGGCTTGTCGAGCAGGGACTGGAGAATAGGTAGGGCAAAGGCAGCGGTCTTGCCGGAGCCCGTCTCGGCGATTCCGATGACATCGCGACCTTGCAGGGCGAGCGGGATGGCCTGGGTCTGGATCGGAGTCGGCTGCTTGTAGCCAAGGGCCTCGCAAGCTTCGCAGAGAGGATCAACGATACCCTACAGGGGTCAGTCGGTAGTTTAGCAGACTGGTGAGAGAGTGTCTGAAGGGGGAGCAGTAGAGGCCTTACAAGGTCCTTGAATGTCTTGGCTGGCACCTCAGCGGCGGTCGAGGACGGTACCGCTGCGGCGTCCACCACGGTTGCTGAATCGTCAGTCTGAGGCGACTGCTCCTGTCTTTGCTCCTGGCCGCCCGCTTCTTTGAGCTTGGGCGCTTTGGCCTTTTCATGCGCCAGTTTTATCCGTTTTGACGACATTTTGTGAGCACCGCCGTATTACTTTTGGGTACTCGTTCTTTACCAAGGCTACTCCGGTAATAGCAGACGATCCGAGAGATTGCAGAGCTCCAGGGCGGCGGTTTGCGCTGCTGGTGGGGAAGCTGTCGCAAGTCGCATGCAGGACGAGGAAAAAAAAAGTCTTATCGGGACCCCTGAGTAGGGCCCGTGCGCTTTATCGGACGCCGCGAATTGGCCCCGCCAGACAGCGGCCAGCTTTTTTTTCTTTTTTCTGCCATCAAGGGCTCCGAAAAGTTCAGCAGACAGCTCCGCTTGGAAACCGACAAACCTAAGACGTCTCGATTCGCAGCCCGCCCAAAATGGCGCGACGACGGTCAAAGAGAAGGACGCATGTCACTGCTCCCAACCCGAACCAGGCCAAGGGGCCAATCAACACCGGCAATGCCTCGATTCGCGACCCCAAGAGCATGGTCATCCGCATTGGCGCTGGTGAAGTCGGCTCCAGCGTCAGCCAGCTGGCCGCCGACGTTCGCCGCGTCATGGAGCCTGGAACCGCCAGTCGACTGAAGGAGCGCCGCGCAAACCGCTTGAAGGACTATCTGGTCATGTGCGGCCCGCTCGGCGTCACCCACCTCTTGCTCTTCTCGCGCTCCGAGTCCGGCAACGTGAATCTCAGGGTTGCCCTCGCACCACGCGGACCAACGCTGCACTTCCGTGTTGAGAAATACTCTCTCGCAAAGGACGTACAGAGGTCGCAGCGACGGCCCAAGGGCGCCGGAAAAGAGTACATCACGCCGCCGTTGGTATGTGCTGCCGGAACGCCCTGCCTCTTGTGATGGCGCACTGGCCGCGCATTTTGCTTGACACTCTTCTAATAGCCCCTGCAGCTAGTCATGAACAACTTCTCCAGCCCGGCCGCGGATGCGCAATCCAAGGTCCCCAAGCACCTCGAGTCTCTGACCACAACGGTGTTCCAGTCGCTTTTCGCACCGATAAATCCGCAGACCACGCCGCTCAAGTCCATACGAAGGGTCCTCCTTCTCAACCGGGAGCCGTCAAAGGAGGAGGACGGCAGCTTCATACTCAACTTCAGACACTATGCTATCACTACCAGGGCCGCAGGAATCTCGAAGCCGCTGAAGAGGCTGGGCGCGGCAGAGAGGATTCTCAACAGCAAGAAGGGCAAAAAGGGCGGGCTGCCGAATCTCGGCAAATTACAAGATATTGCCGACTTTATGATTGGCGGAGAGGACGGCTCTGGGTACATGACAGATGGAACCAGTGGCAGCGAGGCCGAGACTGACGCCGAGGTCGAGATTCTGGAATCGGCGCCTCGCAAGGTCCTCAGTGCCAAGGCCCGTGCCGCGGCACGCGGGGCAGACGGGGCTGATGGGGACCACAACGAAGGGGCGCCGGAAAACGACAATGTCGAGAGGCGCGCCGTCAAGCTCGTCGAGCTGGGTCCGCGCATGAGGCTGAGGCTACTCAAGGTTGAGGAGGGTGTTTGCGCCGGCAAGGTCATGTGGCACGAGTACATCCACAAGTCCAAGGAGGAACTCAAGGCCATGGAGAAGAGGTGGGAGCAGAAGAGGCAGGAGAAGGCGGCGAGGCAGAAGGAGCAAAAGGCAAATGTCGAGCGCAAGAAGAAGGAGAAGGAAGAAGAGCGGAAGAAGACGGGCAGGGGCTCGGGCAACAAGAACGGCCAGGACGAGATGGACGTGGACGAATCTGACGATGACGATTACGACGATGGGTTTGACAGCGAAGGCCTCGAGGGCGACGCGGAGACCCAAGTCAACGGACGGATGGAGGAGGATGGCGAATGGGAAGACGAGGAGGAGGAGATTGCGGGCGGCTGAGCCAGTTTATCTCGTCCTTGTCCCAGAGAGCTTCCATGTATCTAACGCGAGATCTTCGTTGTGTTTGCAGCGTTGCTCTTTGAGCGGTCTTGGCGGAGGGGCTGCAGTGTTCCATCACTCATATCTGATTGCCGGGTCCGTCGGGCAGCTCCAACTTTGGTTAAACCCCAATTCTCGTGTTGCTTCTACCTGCCCTGCAGATTCGTTGTCGCGGCGGCTTTTCGAATCACTCCGGCTCGTGGTGCATCCAATCGATTTGGGCATATTCAATAACACAGCATCTATCGCTGGCTCCGCCGACGATTAACTGCCAAAATGCTCGGGAGGCGACTGGTGTCGTTTAGTACGGCTCTTAAACGTTCGGGAAACCGAATAGGGCCATGGGCCTCAACCACGGCAATACAGGTTTCGTTACTACACTCAGCCGTAGGGCACATGCCCGAGTCGACCGACGTGGCCATAGTCGGCAGCGGCCTGGCCGGCATGTGCGCGGCGGTCGCGGCGGCAGAGGCAGGCGCGCGCTCCGTGACGGTGCTCGAGCGCGGACACGGCGGCGGCGCGTCGGCGCTCTCGGGCGGCATCGTCTACGCGGGCGGCGGGACGGCGCAGCAGCGCGAGGCCGGGTTCGAGGACTCGCCCGCCGACATGCTCGCCTACATGCGGGCCGAGGTCGGCGACAGCGGCGTCGTCGACGACGCCACGCTGCGGCGCTTCTGCGACGGCAGCGCCGCCGAAGTGCGCTGGCTCGAGGGCCTCGGGGCCCGGTTCAGCGGCGCCGCCTTTTGCAGGTACAAGACCAGCTACCCCAAGGACGGCGACTTTCTGTACTACTCGGGTAACGAGAAGGCGGCCCGGTTCGCCGCCGTGGCGCGCCCGGCGCCGAGGGGCCACCGCGCCGTCGGCGGGCCGGGCATGACGGGCGGCGCGCTGTGGAGGGCCATCTTCGACGCCGCCGTCGACAAGGGCGTCCGGTTCGAGGCGGCGACCAAGGTCGAGGACGTCGTGATGGACCAGGGGCGCGCCGTCGGGGTCAGGTATCGCCGGCTGAACCCCGTCGCTGCCGCCGCGCCTTTCGCGAAGCACAAGAAGCTGTCCCAGCGGGCACTCGATCTGAGACTGGCCACCAACACGCTCGCCGACTGGTACGACAAGCGGGCGTCCAAGGTCTTCCAGCGACACGCCGAAGAGGGCACGCTCGGCGCGGGGGCCGTCATCCTCGCCGCCGGAGGGTTCGGCCTGAACCACGCCATGGTCAAGTCGCACTACCCCCTCGCCGACCGGCTCCACTTCCTGGGCACGGCCGGCGACGACGGCGCCGGGATCCGGCTCGGGGCGGCGGCGGGCGGCTCGACGGGGCGCATGGGCTCCGTGTCGGCGTGGCGCTTCCTGTACCCACCCGACGCGCTCCTGCACGGCGTCGCCGTCGGGCCGGACGGCACCCGCATCGCGGCCGAGGACCTGTATGGCGCGGCCTTTGCCGACCGCATGGTACGCCGGCACGGCGGCCGCGGCTTCCTCGTGCTCGACTCGGACCAGTGGGCCCGCGCCACAGCCCAGGTCGCCGAGCAGACGGAGCACTTGACGAGGTTCATGGCGCTGTACGTGACTAGGTGGTTGCGGCGGAGGGCCGGCAGCCTCGGCGCGCTCGCGGGCAGGGTCGGCGTCGACGCGGTGGCGCTGGCGGGCACGGTGGCGGCGTACAACGACGCCATCGTCGCGGGGCGGCCGGACCCGGTCGGCAAGACGGACGAGTACCGGTCGCCGATCGCGCGGCCGCCCTTTTACGCCGTCGACGTCTCGCTCGCGCCGTCGGGCCCCTACATGTCCACCGGCATCACGCTCGGCGGGCTGCGCGTCGAGGGCGGCTCGGGCCTGGTGCTGAGGGGGTCGGAAGGGGGCGGCGAGAACCAGGCGGTCATCGCGGGCCTCTACGCGGCTGGACGGACTGCCGTTGGGCTGTGTTCTAATGGCTACGTCAGTGGGCTGTCGCTGGCCGACTGTGTTTTTTCCGGGAGGAGGGCTGGCGGGCACGCTGCTAGGAGGGTTTTGGGAAGTTAGTAGCAATGGATGCACGGGTAAAGGTTTGATATGAGGTGAGGCTATATTCATGAGACTTTTTGTTGCCTTGCTGGTTGACAGGGGAGACCATATATTTACTATCTCTGAGTCTTGGGAACAGAAAAAGGAGGACCCCAAGGGAAGGACGCAACATGGTTACAAGCATCGATGTTGGAACCCAACACGGTGCGAAGCTGAAGAAATCGACCGAATCCCATCATCATATTCAAGCCGCAAAACACTCCTTAATGGCCTTGCCCTCCTTCAGCTCGGCCAGCATGTCGTCAGACGCCTTTTGACTGATGCTGAACACCGACACGACGGGGAAGACGCCCGGGATGCGGGCAAAGGCGCTGGCGTCGACGACGCGCAGGCCGGCGACGCCACGCACGCGGAACTTGGAGTCCAGCACGGCCATGGGGTCGTCGTCGGCGCCGATCTTGTTGGTGCAGGTGGGGTGGTGGCCAAACGTCTGCTTGTGCAGCCACTCCTCGTCCTCCTTTCCGCAGTAGCCCTGCGCGTCGGGCCCGGCCTTGCAGGGGGGCTCGAGCGTCGGCATGCCCAGGCGTCCGTAGACGGTCCTGACGTAGGCGATGGAGTCCTTCATGGCCTCGAGGTCGGGCCCGGACCCGGCGGCGTAGTGGTTGAAGTTGATCTCGGGCGGATCCTGGGGGTCGGCGGTCCGGAGCTTGACCCAGCCCTTGTTGTTGACGGAGCTGCCCTTGATCATGCTGACGCCGTAGATGCCCTGGGGCTCGGCGGGCAGCTGGCCGACCCGGTTTTCGGACGGCCAGAAGCCGCGGAAGAGGGAGCCGGGCCCGCCGAAGAGGAACAGGTCGCGCTCGCCGTGCGCCGGGTGCTTGGACTTGAACATGGTCACGCCCGTGGAGCCGGAGCCGCCGCTGCCGCGCCCGACGACGGGCATCTCCTGGTTGTCCATCAGGTTCTGGCCCACGCCCGGCAGGTGCTTGACCACGGTGATGTTGAGCGACTCGAGGTGCGCGCGGTCGCCGACGCCGCTGAGCATCAGCAGCTGCGGCGAGTTGAAGGCGCCGCCCGACACGATGACCTCGCGCCGCGCCCGCACCGTCTTGCGCGTGCCCTTGGCGCCCGGCGTGTTGCGGAAGTCGGCCCGGTACACGGACGCGCCCTCGAGGTACTCGACGCCCGTCGCGCGCGGCTTGTCGCTGCTACTGCTGGTGGTGTCGAAGAGCACCTTTGTCGCCAGGGACCGCAGCGACACGACCAGCTTGGTGCCGCTGCGGTTAGCCTCGGTCTGGACGTAGTCGCGCGAGCTGTAGCGGTTGCCGTTTGCGTACTGGTGCGTCACGAGCCCGTAGATGCTCTGCTCCTGGTCCCGGCCGGGCGTGGGGCCGTTGGGGTCGCGCGTGAGGAGGCTGCTCATGGGCATGGTCAGGTTGAGGTCGCGCGCGTACATGCCCATGACGGCGTTGCCGGCCAGGGGGCCAGTGGCCTTGGACTGCGTCATGGCGCCCATCTGGGTCTGGAACCAGCCGTCGAAGCCGTGGCCGGGCGTGCCCCTGGGCAGGTAGTTGTTCTTCTCCACGCGCTCAAAGACCTTGCGCATGTTGGCGGCCTTCCAGGTCTTGTCGCCCGTGACCTTGTAGTGGTAGTCCCAGTCGCTGTCGCTCGGGAGCCACACGCACATGGCGTTGATCATGGACGAGCCCCCGAGCGTGGCGCCCCGCGGGTAGTAGACGCCCAGGAGCTTGGACCCGGCGGGTGCCCCCGTCCTGCCGACCCAGTACTTACCCTCGGGCGTCTTCCACGTCAGGTGGCTGTACTCGTTGTTGCGCGGGTCGCCCTCCGGGTAGTGCTTGACGAAGAAGTCCCAGGTGACCGAGGGCGTGTACGACCCGAAGCCGATGCTCGGGCTGGCGTCGCCCGCCTCGAGGATGAAGACCGAGTATCCGGCCTTGGCCAGGTTCGCGGCCAGGACGCCGCCTCCCGGCCCGCTGCCGACCACTACATAGTCGTACGTGTCCGCGGCGGAGGCGGTCGTCGGAGCCCCGGACACGGGCGTGCCAGCCAAAAGCCCAAGCGAAAGGGTGCTCAGCAGGCTCCTCAGCGAGCCCCTTTTACTGCTCTTTCCCGCCATGGTGATTTGCTTTTTTTTTTTTTGCACTTTTCCCCGAGAGCAGCGGTCGGACTGCGAAAGGCTGGGCCAGACGTACAAACATGGAGCGAGGAGCTCGCGAACCAGCTGCTCTTATAGGCCAGGCCAGCGGAGACGCTCCCTCGCCGGGATGAACCCGAAGCGCCAGCTGGTACGTATAATCTAGCCAGTCGCAGGTGCGCCGTGTGCTCTTGGCAGAGGGGAATGTTGTACTGCGGTACGCTGACGAACACGCCCATATCCGAGTGCCGACCCTCCAGGGAAAAACCGCCAGCGACTCCTCATCGCATCGGCGGCATGGACCTTTCCGGCCTAGGCGGGCAGGGGCAATCGCATCACGGCTCCATATTACATTCCTTAAACTGCCTGGTCGCGGCGGCGGAGGCCCTCCCCAATCTTGCTTTCTACCGCGGTCCTTCACCGCGCGTACCCTGCAAAGGCGGCATCGCCTCCCCGATTCGTATACCTGGCCCCTGCAGGCGCCAAGTCGGCTATTCTGCTTTCCCTGCAAAGTACCATTCATATTCCCATGTCCTGCTTTTCGGTATCTGTGCTTGGCACGTGGTCGGTTGCTCTGTCATCCATGCTAGCGTGCGGGGTTGAGAAACTTGAGGATCTCGGCCTAAGCGCTATCGGCGCGTCCCAAGGCCGGGACCCTATGCACCCCGAAGGCACAGCCCCAACACGGTTCAACACCGTGCATACGTATAAATGGCCTGTACACCAATGTACAAGGTGTGTAATTAGAATTGGGAGGTATCCAGATTCCCGAGGCCACTCTAGCTGGCACAATTCAACTGTGACGGCTACCGGTGCAGAGTCTAGAAGCCACAAACTGGAGTTGGCAATGCCGAAGCTCTGGTCTTTGCGATTTGGAACAGCCCGAGCCTAAACCCCTACACGGATGGCCAATCAAAAAACTGCTTGGTACGAGAGTGCGGAGGCCTTGTCTTCAAACAATGGCATGCGGGCATAAAACAAATAATTCATACCATGCTAAGAAAATGGCTAACTAATGAGATGGAAGACATGAAAATCATGGGGAAAACAACGGAACTCAAGAATCAGGGACCGGGTGAGCGGGAGAGCACGAGCTTAACTTAAATAAGGAGAGAGCCAAGGTAACCATCAAGCGACAAATCTTAAAACGACCTTGAGAGAAAGTAAAAGGCGGTAAGGAAAGAGCAGCGGGGTGAAGACAGCAAAAAAAAGAAAAGAAAAAAGAAAAAAGAAATAGGCTCAGGGCAATACTGTTTGGTGATCCGGGAGAGGGCACCAGTTGCCGTGACAAGCACGTGCGGCTTGTTGACCCGAATAGGAAAAGGGATGGAAGAACAGTGAAAAGACAGTGCCAAAAGAGAGGGGAAATTGAGTTGCGGCTCGAGATAACATGGGAGTGGAAGCAAGGAACGGCGCTAGGCCTTCTTCTCGTGGATTTCCTTTGTGTGCTTGCGCAGGTTGTCCTTGCGGGTGAAGGTCTTTTCGCAAAGGTCGCAGGGAAAGTCGTCCTGTGGGAGGTTCTGTTGCCTTTTGGCCCAGGCCGAGTGATAGGCGCGGACGTGGCGGATCATGTCCCTCTGCTCCGCCGTGCGTCTCCCCTTGGGGTTCCCATCGTTATCGCAGAGCTCGCTGAGCGGACAGATAACGGGCTTGAAATGGGTTCGCATGTGTTTCCTGGACATCCGCTCGTTAGGGAGGTGTAGGGGTGGGCGTTGTCCTCCTCTCGGCAGACAGTTGTGTTGTCTCGGGAAGGCCGAGGAACTGGTGTGGTATGACGTGGTGTGGTGCGAAAATATAGTTACTTACTTGAAGTTCCGGAGGCTGTTGTAGGCTCCAGAGCAACCGCCCTCGTTACAATAATACTGCCCGTCCTCTCTCTTGTACTCTTCCAGGTCCGGGAGGGGCTCCTCCTCGAATTTACCTGTGTAGACCGGATCAGACATGTCTGTGCTGGAAACAGAGCCGTCAAGGCTAGCAGGTGATGGATCGACGGGGGTGTGAAGCTGGGGATGGTCGTATGTTTGATGAGCAGTGGTGGAGCTATATATATGCTGCTCCGGAGCCGTAGAGAATGGGAGCAGCTGCCCAGTATAGCCGTAATGGCCCAGGTCTTGGGCTGGAACTGTCGGTGCATGTTGACCATCGCTCTAAAAAGCAAGGTCGGCAACCGAGATCTGATCCAGGGGCTGATCCAGGGGCAGGACGGCAACGGGATCCATCGACCAGGTGGAAGGGGCTGTGGAGGCGCCAGAGAAGCCAGTGTCACTTCCGTACACCGGCGTCTGGCCTTGCGCATACATGTACTGGAGGTCGTGTCCCTGGTAGTCCTGATAGTACACCCCCTGATCAGTGCCGTTGGTCCACTCAGCGCTGAGCTGCACGTCTTGGATGGCGCCGTGGCGGCGGCGGCTGGGGTTCGACATTGTCGGGGACGATGGTGGTGAGGCGATTACGGTGGGGACGGCGTATGGACGGACACTCCGGGGACTCCCACATGGAAGCAATAAAATGGGGATAAGATAGACGAGGTATTGCTGATCAGATGAGGACACGAGCGATGTTTCGACTTGGCAGTATCAGATCGAGCACGAGCACGACAGCGCACACGTCGTGACGGCTAGGGCTTGCCAGATCTTGTGCCCTAAGAGCAGGGGAACCACGGCCCCTCCAAATGGAGAGCTTCACATACGTCTTTTATGCCTGTACAAACAGGCAGCATCCCTTGAGGGCCTCACTAACGGAGGCCAGGGCAAACAGGTTGACCGTCACGGGAGGTGCTCGCTGCTGGTCTGCACGCAAGCAGGTGGGCCTCCTCGTGTATCCTTGATCCCCGGGCTGTGGGGGAGAACCTTCTGGCAACGAGGCTCGTTACGTTGCGCGGTGGGCGTGTTGATGTCGCGAACCCGGTGAGGTCATGTCGGCACAGTCCAGGCCTCAGGGGCATGCACTGTACTGCTCTGTGAGGCCCCCTCGATCGGCAGAGGTTTGCGTCCAAACACCAACTAGAGCCGCACTGTGGGAGAACGCAACGAACGGCCCGGCAGGTGACGACGATTGGGCGTAGGGCCACAGGGCGTAGCACGCAGACGGGCCAAATGGCAGGAGGTGGTGGGCCGACTGCAGGTGGTGGGCCTGCCACAGCTGCTGGCTGCAGTCAACCTTGGCTGGGCAGACACCACCAATGGCCAACTCCAATTTGACTGGCTGGCAGCCTCGAGGCACCAACCTGGAAGCCAACATGGGAATCAGCCTGGGCCGGCCTCGGAAAATGAGGCCCAAGTCGGTCGAATGGGCCTCGCCCTGCCATTGGCCCCCTTCCCTCGGAGGCCTTCTCGCAGACGCGGAGACGCGCACCCGCCCGTTTCTTCTTCCACCTCTTCAACGAGGACGTGATTCTGCCGCCTGGGAAGGCCTCACAGCCCGGCTGGCTGCGCAATGGCAATGCTTCTCTCTGGGTACGTCTGGGTGTGTTCTACATAGTAGCCGTGTCTACGAAAAGGCATTAGATGACCATATTTTTTTCTTACCCCTTCCTCTTGACTCTTCCCAGGCCTCCAACCGAGTCGAGTCCAGTTCCCCTCCGGAGCTCATCATTTTCCAATCCGTCCCTCCCAATTGATTACCTAGTCAATACCGTTCCTGTACCTCTCTCCTGAGCCCCCACCCCACCCTTACCCATAAAACCATCCCCCGCAACGTCTCACTACACTGTACCCATCACTCTCAACCACAATGCCTGCATCCAAGACTAAGAAGTCAAAGGCCGTCGTCAACCGCTCTGGTCCGGGCAAGACGGCGACGCTGCACACACCGCTGGACAAAGGGCCCAGACTTGATAAGTACGCGAGGTTGTTGCATCGCTTCTTCGAGCCCCTGGTATTGCTCCACACTCTCGGCAAAACCAGAGGCATACACAGCCCAGCTTCTGTCGAAGAAGGCTCTATCGAGTTCAAATGGAAGACATTCTTGGACGATCTATCGTATGTCTGCGATTACGACAAGGGAGGTCACACGACCACGGCCATCGCCATTGAAGCCGGTCGAGACCGCTATGTCTTCTGGTTCGCGCTCAACAAGAGTTCCGCCAGGGTTCACACCTTTCTCGAATCCATTCTGGCCACGATCACCGAGAGCATCCAGCCTGTCAACGCCCAAAACCAGGAGACAAGGGACGAACTCATCGCCAACTTGAAACGGCGCTGTTTCGAACATGCGAGGCACAGGATTAAGAAAGAAGTCAACATGCTTCGTGCGCATATCAAGCGCTGTACGGGGTTCCTTTCTGGAGAGGACGGCAAGTTCTACCTGAAGACCATGCTCTAGTCCCTTGACTCCGGGTCTAGAACAACTGCCCAAGCTAATTCTGCAACGAGATTCAGATGCTGAGCTGGCTCGCTGGCTCGAGCAGTTTCGACAAGGCGATCACAGCGAAGTCTGTTCGCTGGCTTTTGAGCATAGACAGTCGCAGGAAATGCTCGATATCAAGAACAGGGGGCGACAGAGCCGTTACATCACCAGGACCGCGCAGGACAAGAGATTCGACAGCAATCCCTTTGATAATCCCTTCGCCGCGGCTCACCACCTCATCGGGAGGCTCGCCCACCATGAGCGTGCGCCGAAACGTCTCATGGAAAGCGCTCAGTCCTTCGAGCAGGTGTTGGACAGCAGCTATGTCGTCAGCCAAGTCCCTGTCCCCGAGCCTGTGCCTGCTCCAGTACCTGACGACAAGACGAACCTTCGTTCGATCTTGCATCGAATGGGGGTCGATGACGAGGCAACCACTGAGGCTTTGATGGATCTCGAAAGGATGCACGGTATCGAAGAGCCCCTGCTGGAGGAATACCGCAACGACACCTTCAAGCCCATCGTCCACTGCGAGATCCAGGTCTATGAGCACTTCAACGCCCCCGGGCGACAAAAGTTGTTCGCTCTCGACTTGCCTGTCATCGGCTGCAGCAAGGCAGCCTGCTACTGCTGCAAGCTCTACCTCAAGTATTCTCCCGCACGCTGCATTCAGCCCGAATCGCACGAAAACGTCTGGCTCAATTGGAGCCCGCCGGCACTCCCCTCGGGTCACCTCGACGCTGGATTCAGGGCACAGCGCGCAGTCCTTCAGGGAATGATTGAGGAGATCCGCCGGGCCGCCGTGGCGCAGATCCTAGAGCGGCGTGGCCCAGGGACGAGCCACCCAGACTCTACCACAGGCATCACCAAGCTGACCGCGAGGAACCCTGTTCGTGCTCGGGATGTCGGGCAAAGCATCGCTGCCTTGAGTATCCGTAGGCTGCCCTTGCCCTCACTCCCGCCCCACCTTTGAAGCTTCAAACAACTAACTTCACCCCTTCTTTTGCTCTTCTCTTGGAAGAAAGCCCGGCTGAGTATCTACGCTGGGATGGAGGAAGCGAATACGGCTTCGGCGAGGACGCCGCGCGCAGCCCGTCTCGACCCAGCTCCCCCGCTAGATCCGAGTCGTCCGAGACCCGGAGCAGCTTGGACTTTGCCCCGAGCCCTGAAAGCCGCAGCCCAGACGCAGACCTGGGCGGGTCTGATTTCGACTCGGATGGCGATGACGGAGGCGGCGTTCTTCTGTTTACGCCACGAAAGCAAAACTGGCCTCGCATTTGAGATATTTGATCGCTCCGGTTGGGGGATATTGGGTGAAGTGGCCGTCTATTTATTTCCAATAGCTTCAAAGGATTTACAGTATTGGCAATCTACTTGAGTGGCCCATCGCCCCGGGCGATCGAATTACCAGACGGACAATCAGCCTAGCTAATTATCGTCTCATTAGGATTAGGAATCAAAGTCGCTGCTCATGCAAGTTCGCATGCCCTTGTCCTCGGGCTCCTCGAGCTTGGCAGGTGGAGGAGCCCTCACGACACCCTCCACCATTGTGAGTTCCGAGTCGGTGTCGGTGACGGAGAGCGACTTGGACTGCCGCTCATACCGGACGCTGATATGCGTCTGGCAGACAATGGTGCTTGCCCCATCCAGCGATCTGGTCTCACTGACGTCCGGCCTAGCGTTTTCCCCTCCTGGACCCGCCAGGCTCGAATCTCGAATCTCGTGAAACCTGGCCCCGGTCTCCTGTATGGAAGCACCGTCTCCGGCCGTGCCCGGCTTCTCCGATTTGCAGCAGGTCCCGACGGTTCCGAGCCGGCGGGCCCCCCCTCCTCCCCCCTCCTCCTCCCTCTCCGGCGGCCCTGAGAGAAAAGCGGGACGGGGTGTTGCTGACGCGCCGGCGCGAGCGGCTGACCCGGCCGGCCTCGAGCGCGTGGTGGAGCGGGGACCAGGAGGTGAGGCTGGTCAGGGTGTAGCGGTCGCCGCAGGCCGGTCGGGCCGCCGCCGCCGAGCCGCCGCCGGGGAACCAGGTGCGGGCCAGCCCCCTGAGGGCCGGCACGCAGGCGCACATGATGGCCAGGCTCGTCTCGAGGTTGGACACGACGAAGGCGATGTTGTAGCTCGGGTCGGGGTTCCGGAGCCGGCGCTGGACCTCCAAGGGGTTTTCGGAAAAGAGCCGGTAGAAATAATAGAGCCTGACCACGCTCACAATGGTCACTCTGCGGCCGCCGTTAGAGAAGGCCGTGTTTCTTGTTTTTGTGGGGCTCTGTTGAGACTTACAGCGAGCCGAAGCAGAAGACGGCCAGGACGGCAATCTTGAGCTTGCGAGCCATCTGCAGATCCAGAAAGACCCAGAACGGCAGCCCCAGAACCAGGACGTCGGTAAAGATGGAGATGGCCGCGGCCGAGATGTAGAAGCGGCCGATGGACGGGATGCAGCTCCCTCTGACGCGGGGGTCCCAGTAACGCCGGACGGGCAGGCACTGGAGCGTGGCCGTCAGGGTCGTGGCCACCATGGCGGCCAGGTTCAGGGCGTTGACCGCGTGGATGGCGTGCTTCATGCCGGGCTTTTGGCGGCCCAGCTTCAGGAGGAAGAGGAGCATCGATGTCTTGACCAGGGGCAGGATGGGGTGGTAGAAGACTTGGCTCAGATAGTCCCAGCGGCGCGCCTCCATGGCGTCGATCGGTGGGATGTACCGGATGTGAACGCCGATGTAGGTCGTTTTGGCGACTGTCTTCCCGGGTCAGCGACAGTCTAGGTTGCTTGGCCGCAGCCATCTCTGCTTTGTGTGGAACATACACATGTAACTCGACACCGTCATCGGCACCATTATTATCTGTCGAGGCGTATTGTTAGCCGGGCCTATTTTCGTAGCAACGTAGCAAGAGGACGACTGAACATCAGATCGAGAAAGTTGGGAAAAGAACCACCCACCATAGATGCGCAGATGAACATGTCGTCTATCAGGGCCGGCGGCGGATAAGGGATCGATTAGCAATGTCTCTTTTCTTTTGCACGGGTTAAGCTGCCTAGTTATACAACAGATACACACCCAGCCATAGCTGCCGTGTCCTGGCACGGCTGTAGACCCTGAGGCCGACAAAGATGCACGCGAGCACCGGGAGTATCACCATGATGGCTTTCGCGAACTGCTGCAGTCGAGTGGTGGGGTTCGGGTTCCCGCTCCAAGCAACGAACCCGGGCCATCGTGCCATGTCGGCCGGCGACAGATGCCGAGCCTCGAGGGAGGGCTGGAGAGCGTGCATGTTGAGGGGGCATAAACTGGGTTTGGTATTGCTTACTGCCTCTTCTACCTACCCAACTAAATCACATTTGAGGTCCTAGTTGATATTTAAATACTAGCCGCCTTCTCTGCTCGCCTCGCCATCCCGCTGATGACCGACGCGTCCTCGGTTATGGCTAACGGGTGACCAAATCCTTGACAAGCCCAGGCGAGACCAGCTCGAAATCAGGCGTGGCGATGGCTGCGCGGCTCGAGTTCGACGGCTGTCCTGCTGCTGAAACGACAAGAAGGCGGTGCTTCTCGAACAAAACTCACGCGTGCGTGTCACGGAAAGTTCCAGAACGACGGGGTGGCCTGGACTCGACCCGTAACCGGCTGGCTCTTGCGTGTCTCTGTGCGACCCGGCCGTCTCTCCGGCCGTCTCTCCGGCCGTCTCGCCTTGTACCCACCGGGTTCTCGGGGCCTGGCGCTCCCTCCCAGGAGAGCCTCACAATGTCTCGGGACGGCAGGATAGAGGGGGGAGTCCCGGCCGCGGTTGAGATTGGGGCTACTCCGTGATGCATCAGCCTCCTCTAGAGGTTTAGGAGCTATGCAACCTTCCGTGTCTTACCCAGCTGCCAGAAACTTTACGCACGGGGCGTTTTCCGGTAAGCATTCCTCTTTCGGCAAGCCACCTCCCACCCTCCGGTCTCTGTGTCTCCCGTTAGGACGTTGGGCAGGCTTGGTAGAGGTTTGGGAGCCAAGACAGATGGATCATGTGTTCAAGGGAAAGATTTGTCGATAAGCTTCACCCAGCCCCGGCATGACGGCGTATTAGTGGTAATTTCCTCAACAACCTTTCTTGGCGCCGACATGGCCACAGCCAGGGGTTCCCCGACTTGTGGCTTCTAGACTCTGCACTAGTAGCCATCACAGGTTAATTGTGTTAGCTAGTGTGGTGTCGGGAGTCTGGATACCTCCCGATTCTAATTACACACCCTGTACATCGGTGTACAGGTTATTTATACGTGTGCACGATGTTGAGCCGTGATGCATGGGATCCTGGCCTCGAGACACGTCAATAGCGCTCGGGCCGGATCCTCAGACTCGCCTCCACGTTGAAACCGAACAATCCCCCACAGGATATTTTTATCGGGCCCCACGATTGCCAAAACGGGCGCCGCATCCTCTGTCATCCGATCCCAAACCCGTTTGCTTGGGCAGGACCCATCCGAGATGTCGATCATGGTTCAAGATTGATGCCTTTGCGTCCAACGTTAGCTTGCTCCAACTGTGAATAGCAATGTGGGCCTTGACAGCAGCCAAGGAAGGCTGGCTGGATATCGTGTTTAAATAGGAGGGCTCTGATGCCTCAAGTCCGGAAATTCCAATCATCCATCTCATCAACCTCACCAACATCTTCTCCTCGCCTTTTCCTTTTGTCATCTTTTTCCTTTTGTCTTCTTTTCCTTTGTCGGTTCTTTTTTTCTTCTTATTTTTTTTCTCTCCCTTTGTCATCTATCAATCACGACCCACCAACCACCCATCACCAACCGCCTACCATCAGCAAAAATGAAGACCTTTTCCTTCATCAGCGCCGTCCTCCTGCTCGCCGCGGCACCCACCGCGATGGCGACGCCCGCCGCTGGCCTCGAGGACGCGTCGCCGCTGCTCGAGGTTCGGTGGATGAGCCCCAAGAACAAGTGCACGCCCACCAAAACTAGCACCTGCATAACGGGCTTCAAGAGGGACATCGAAGCCCTCAGCGTCGGGGGGCCCCAGGTGCTCCAGACCCGGGCGATAGGGATCAAGTGCACGCCCAGGAAGGGCTACAGCTGCCTGATGAGGAAGGACGAGGGCCCCCAGGTGCTCGAGGCCCAGGTGATGAGGCGGGGCAACACCTGCAGTCCCAGCAGCGAGACCGTCTGCGTGGCGACGAGGGACCTCCAGGGGCTCGTGGTCGGCGGGCGCGCCGTCCTCGAGATGCGCGGCGTCAAGTCGCCCTCGTTCGGCGAGAGGGCGAAGTGGACCTGCAGGCCCACCGAGAACACGTCCTGCCTGCACAAGAAGGACCTCGAGGCGCTCGCGGCCGGCGGGCGCGCCGTCCTCTAGACGCGCCGCGTCAAGCCGCCCTCGGACAACCTATTCATGAAGAGCAATTTGATGAGGATGAACTGAAAGCCCACCAAGGACAGGGCCTGCCTAGACTAGAAGGACCTCGATGGACCCCGTCGTCGAGACGCGCGACTTGGGGCGTCTTCTTTTCTTCTTCTCTTCTTTGCTTTTTATCTTTCGTTCTGCTTTTTCATCGTTCTTCCTATTTCCTCTCCCCGACCAACATTTCTATTTTGTCTTTTTCGATTTGGCCTTTTTGCTTTCTTGTTTTTTCTCTATTTTACTTTGCTTCCATTTTTGCTCCTTTTCGACCACACATCATTTCCGCATAGCCTTGGGCTCGTTTTGTTTGTCATTTTCTACTCCTTCGCCTTTGGGCTCTCAACAATTGTGTTAGCCCAATGTTTGCCTTGATCTCATGTATTTCGAGTGCGGCCTTGGGTCGCTGTCGTTTGGGGCGGTAGAACTTGGATATGTTCAACAAGACTTCAATGCCATGACCTTTTGGGGACACCCGGTTCGATTACAGTGGTGCCGATACGTGGGCTCCGCGAGATTGCATTTGCTTCCCCAGACTAGAGAATGTCGCATGTCTTCAGCTATACCTATCTCGTATGATGAGCCCCTTATTATTCCCACACGTTTCTTGAATAAAACGGGCCTGAGTATAGCAGGACTCTCCGCGGCTTCACGCAGGCCAGTACTTGCTTACGAACTCGAGCGGCTCCTTCAGCCATGGTTCCCGTGTCGTGTGGTTGACGTCGAATACATGACTCCCCGTTTGGAAAGACAGGTAGAGCGGCACGTCTGGCTGTAGCCTTTTGAGCTTGGCTGCCCACTCGTTTGTGTCCTCCCAAGAAACCTGTGTTGAAGAAATCCGTCTTCTGTCAGCCAACGTCGTCCTCGGATGTGATATCGCATGGGGTTCACTGTATGACAAGGACTCACCGCTTCGTCCTCCTTCGAGTGGTAGAGCAAGATTGGAGGAAGCTTCCCGGCCGTCTCGAGGCTGACCCACGGATCGAGGTACGCGTTTTCGCCCTCGACATTGGCCATCTTGCCCGCCTGCATCAGGGCAGCACACAGATCCATGCGTGCCGCGAACGGCGCCCGCGAGCAGACGTGGCCAGGCTCCAGCCCCGCCAGGTGCTTCTCGACGACCGAGTACGGCACCTTCTCGGCGAAGATGGGGCGCGAGGACCCCTCGTCCCTCTCGAACTCGTCGCGGAGCTTCCGGCCGACCATGAGGGCCGGGTACTGGATGATGAGACACTTGATGGGCAGCGACGTCATGCCGAGCAGCGCCACCTGGGCCGTGTGGTAGCCGCCCGCGCTCTCCCCGGCGACGGCGACGTTGGAGGCGTCCAGCACCACGCCGGCGGTGGCGGGCGTGGAGGCGAGGCAGGCCTGGGCGCCGCCGTCCTCGACCCAGCGCCAGAAGTCGCGCGAGTCCTGGACGCCGTCGGCGAGCTCGTGCTCGGGCCGCAGGCGGTAGTCGGGCGCGACTAGCACGGCGCCCGAGTCGCGGGTCATCTCGAGGAGGAAGGGCCGCAGCGACGCTTCCGCTTCGCCCTCGGTCCACCCGCCGCCGTGGTAGCGCACCATAAGCGGGCGAGGGCCGGCGGGGAGGACCTTGGGGACGAGAAAGAAGGCGTATATGGGGCGGTTGTTGACGTGCTTATAGGGCGCGCGATAGACGTTGAACTGGTCAACGATCTTGATGGTGTTGGGATGCTGCGTCTCGAGGTCGAGCTTGTAGGACTCCATGGTGGCGATTGAATATGGGGTGATGGTGGAAGGTTTTGGGCGTTGTTGATCGCGGATAGGAGTCTGGTGTGAGTGCTTGTTCTGTTCTCTCGAGCGAAGGAGCTGAATCTCTGGCATATAAACTGCGTCAATATTAGCTTGGGGTCAAGAGGCTATTTATCCCAACGTCTCACCATCAGCACCACTACCGCGAGTATCACCACCGCGCCGAGGCCCTCGGCGGGATGCCGGGTCGCGCTTCCGCATTCAGTGCTTGGCAAGTGCGCGATGAATAGAGTGTGGGGGGCCAGAAGGCAGTGCGGAGTTTCCGGTTCAGAGGGTCAGATGGATTCGATCCTTCTTACGCTGCCATAACGGATTTAACGGGCGAGTATGCGGTCATATTTCGTAACCCCCGGGGTGCGCGCCCCCAACACGCGCCTGGGAAAACTCCGAAATTCCGCTGCCACACCCCCATTGCATTATCAGTAACAGATCGGCTCCAAATATCCCCATACTGCCAGGCCATGTGGCCCCGGAGCCGCGGAAGCGGGATCTGGGCTAGGAAATAGCCACGGTGTCGGGAAATTTTGCCTTTTCCTGTCGTCCTGGTTGTCAGCCTGAACTAAGCCAGGTTTTGTGGACAATGACAACCTTTCGATGGCGGGTTTGACGGGTTCGTAGACCTATGTTCGGACTTGCACTGGTTCAAATAGCCACAAACAGAAAACCCCTCGGCTAATTGCCCAAAGCCGGATAGCCATGCCGTTATATCCCGGCCGCTAAAACACCATAATAGGAATAAGCCCCCGAGAGTTATCCTCGATGAGGATGCGTATCTGGTTGGCCGAGGGAGAGGGCCGGCGGGTCGATCACCCAACAACACTCGAGTGAATGCGCCACGATACACCTTTGTTTCCCTTGGTGCACTTTAGGAATAGGCTTCAATCTCGGAGCATCTCAAGCGCTCGGCAGTAAATAGGCCTCGTGTTAGCAGATATATCACCTAAAGGGGCTCAACTCCGGAGTGATTCAAATGCCGACTTCTGGGTGGTGAATCGGGCCTCTTTTGTATGGGAAGGAAGGAGATCCATCTGTGGGAGGGCTGGCCAGAAGGCCGCCCCCTATATACAGGCCTAGGCTACGTAACAGGCCCACGTCCCCTATCGGATACCCGTGCATATAGGTGACCCAACACCTCGCCGTTTAATTGCGAGCCCGTTGCTTTACCACTGCCTGGTACAAAGGGCAAGGGGCAAGTGCATCACGCCACCAAGTCGCATCCAGGTACGGACGAGGGAGAGCAATCTTCGCTCCACCACCAAGAATGCCACCGATACCTGGTTTTTGGGAGCTATATGGAGCCATATGGAGCCTCTCTCAGCCTTGTCCCCGTCAGGAACTCAGAATCCTCGGGCCCCAACTCAGGGCTCCCGAGCATACAACCCCGCCGTCCCCCTTGCATGGAAGTTTGGGAACAAGTCGTATCTCCATCAGTCCGTCCGGCCACAGTTTTCAGGGCCCCTCGTCCCACCGTTGAAAACGAGGAGGCAGCATAGGAGGAGAAAACCCCCTCTCGGGATCTTACCCATCAAGCCATCGCGCTCATCAAGACTTTGACCAAGGCAGACACGAACAAGACCCCTCAGGTCATAAGAGCCACCTCATATCAAGGGTCGCAAGGCACGCTGATGCCGAGTCCCCATGCTAGCTGACTTTCCTTACATATAAAACCCGTTGTGATTGCTGATGCGGGCCTATCCGCCATTTTATGGCAGGGGTATTTGAATGGTTTATATCAGGCATATAGAAAGTGTTGGATCCAGGACCCAAAAAAGAGATTCCGGCATTGGAATGGTAAATAACGAGGAAAGAAGCAGCTAAATATTATATAAAGTATACAAAAAGGTTACCAGTTTCGTGCATGTCCACCAGTTGTCCAAAATGTAGGCTTTGATATTCGGGGTGCATGTAGTTAAATTAAAATCCCTGGGCTGTTATTCTGGCTGCTATGTATAGCACTGGTTGGGTTACGTTTACCAAGGTCCAAGGTGAGAGTATTGTGATTGAAAGCTGATTTGTCGGTCACAGTCGCGGCAGGCCCTCCCGTAATTCATATTGTCTGCTGCTCTTGGCTAGGATCTCTAGGGCCGGGGCAAAACGTCGTCTCAACTGGGGTGACCGCCATCGATGGAGAAAGCTTTCTAATGATGAGCTGTAGATGGGTGTTCAGCTTTGCAGCCCAAGTCAACCAGATGGCCTCGTCACTGTATTACTCCATCAGCCGATCCTAGTTTGGAGTTCCCTGGAACCCAATATATGAACCGCTGGACCCCCCTCGCTCCCCATTCACTTGACAAGACAAGAATTGAAGAAGTTGGTTGCTCGAATTTCAACACACCACTCGCTCGAGTCGACATAAAATCCTCGTCTCCCCCCAAGTTCCTGCCAACCTCTCTCATTCCGTCACCCAACTCTCGATTTCCAGCGCCCAACCAGCTGCCATATCCTGACAGCAACAGTCTACCCGATACCCTTCACCTCACAGCAAATCGTTTCCCCTCTCCTCCTTTTTTCCCTTTTCCTCCCAGCCTGCTCTCGACCAGAGTCGGTCCGGGAGGACACCCGCCGCTGGCAGACAAAATGCCAGATACGACGGCGCCGGTGCCCCCGGCCACCTGGAACCAGAGCCCGAGAGTCCTGGCTCTTCAAGAGAGCCACAAGTAAGCATTTCCCAATGAGCCAGCTCCGCCTTCCTTTCGATTGGATTTCCAGGTTTCCTAACGGTCCCTTTACCCATAGCGAGTATGGCTCCTACTGGATCCGCCTCCTGGGGTCCATTTCGGCCTCGGGATGGCCCCAAACCCTCCTCCTCCTCGCCGCCCTCCTCCTTGCCTCGAGAGCCTACCGGCAGGGACGAACCCTGCCGGTACGGCGCGTATCGGTCGACTCGGTCGTCCTCGACGTCCTCTCCCAGATCTTCCGTTTTTCCGCCCTCGTCTTCGTCGTCATCGCGGCGGCGGAGACGGGCGGCCACGCTGCCGACAGCGTCGTCGTGGGAGCCGTCTTCGGGCTCGGACTCTCGGACCTCCTGCCCTCCACCCGCTGGCGCCAGAGCTGCCTGGCGGTGGTGAACCTGCTCCTCGTCGGCGCCTTCGTCCTCCTGGCGGCCCAGGAGCTCCTTCCCTGGTTCGAGATCCGGCCGGAGCGCCAGCACAACACCATGGCCGTGCTGGCCACCCTGTCGCTTGCCGCTGCGGTGTTGACAGCAATGGTCACACCCAAGGCATGGCGCCCACCAGCGCATGTTCGGCCGGCCTGGGCGGCGGCGGCGGCGGCGGTGGCGGCAGACGAGGAGTCGCCCATCGGCCCCAGCGCGGAGGAGACGGCCAGCTTCGTCAGCCGGTACTGCTGGTACGGCTGGCTCAGCCCCCTGGTGTACAAGTCCTTCGCCAGCGAGGCCGTCATCGGGATGGACGACCTGCCGGGCCTCCCCTGGTACGACGAGCCCAGGCTCTTGCGGGCCAGGATGAGCGGGGCCAGGCAGGGGGGCAGGCGAACGCTCGAGTCCGTCCTCCGCTTTCTTTCCTGGGAGCTCGCCTCCATGGCCGTGTGGGTCGCCCTGGCGACCGTCTTTGAGCTCGTCGTCCCCCTAGCCATGTTCAACTTCTCGGCCTACTTCGAGAGCCCGCAGGCGGCGCAGCTGCGCCCTTCGTTCTGGATCGCGCTCGGCTTCGCGAGCTACATGGTCCGCTCGCAGACCAGCCAGCAGTACATCTTCATCTCGACGCGCCTGTGCGTGCGCCTCAAGTCGGGCATGACGCAGGAGCTGTACCAGACGGCCATGGGCAGCATGGAGCTGTCGTCGGCTGTGATCGGGGACCTCGTCGGCAAGAAGGAGAGGCCGCCAGGCGCACCAGCCAAGGGAAAAAGCTCCAAGACGACACCCGCCGGCCAGCTTGCCAACCTCATGTCGTCCGACATTGACGCCATCTACAAGGCGCGCGACTTTGTAATCACCATCGTCAGCGTCCCGATCAGCTGCTTCTTCATCTGCCTGGGCCTGTACCAGCTGCACGGGTGGCCCGCGCTGGCCGGGTTCGCCGTGATTCTGTTGAGCATCGTCCTCCCTCTCAAGCTCGCTACCAGGATGGCGCAGGCCCAGAAAGAGGCCAAGAAGAGCCAGGACAAGCGCATCTCGCTCGTCTCCGAGTACCTCGGCCTCATCCGCCCGATCAAGTACTTCGCCTGGGAGGACATGGTGGCGAGGCGCATCCAGCACGTCAGGGTCAAGGAGCAGGCCCGGCTGTGGACGGTGGCGCTCATGCAGGCGCTGATGGCCCAACTCACCGAGAGCATCCCCATCCTGGCCGTCGTCGTGATCCTGGCCTGCCACGTCTGCGTCGTCAGAGAGCCGCTCTCGGCCGCCGGCGCCTTCACGACCATCTACCTGACCACGACGCTGCGCGGCAACCTCACGAACCTGGGGAGCATCTGGCGCAAGGGTCAGAACGCCTGGATATCTATCGGCCGGCTCGACACCTTCTTCACCAAGGTCACGCCCCTGGCCAAGTACCCCGAGGGCCCGCTGAGGCTCCGCAACGCGTCCTTCCAGAAGGGCGCCTTCACGCTCGACAATATCACGCTCGGCCGCGACGACATTGTCGAGGGAGGACTGCACGTGCTCTCGGGCGACTCGGGATCCGGCAAGACGACGCTTCTAAGGTCGATACTGGGCGAGGTCAGCCTCGTGGAGGACGACGATGAGGGAACCCGGCGAGGCCCAAGGGTGACGCGGCCGAGCAGCGCCGTCTACGCCTCGCAGACGCCCTGGCTGATGAACATGACGATCAAGGACAACATCGTGTTCTACGCCGACTTTGACCACGCGCGCTACAACCGGATTGTTACAGCATGCTGTCTCGATGACGACCTGATGGTGCTCCCCAAAGGAGGCATGACGATGGCGGGCGAGAACGGGTCTGCTCTATCTAGTAAGTACAGCCAGCCCCAGGCTTGCCCCACGGGTTTAATAGCGGCTGCCCCTTTCTAACATTTTCTGTCTTTCACTTGCTCCAGGAGGACAGAGGGCCCGTGTCGCGCTCGCGCGCGCGCTCTACGCGGCCAAGGAGGGCTCGCTGGTGCTCCTGGACGACATCTTCGCCGCGCTCGACAGCCGGACCATCAACCAGGTGTGGCAGCGGTGCTTCTGCAGCGATCTTCTCCAGGGCCGAACCGTCGTCCTGGCCACGCGGCTGGAGCAGGTGCTGAGCCAGAGCGACCGCCACTTCGTCATGGACGGCGGACGCATCGTGGCCAGGGACAGTCGCGTCGTCAGCGAGCGGCAGTCCATCGACGTGCCAGCCGTGCACCCGGACGAGGGCGGCGACGAGGGTGCCGCAGACGTGCGCAAGGAGGCGGCGGCCATGCGTGATGACGCCGCCACCACCACCACCACCACTGAGACTTCTGTGCACCATGCCGAACCAGAGGCAGGACCGAGCACTTGGCCGCCCGCCACTCTCAACCGGCAGCTGTCAGTCCGTCCCATTAGGAGAACCGGCACAGACGATATCAAGAACGAGATGGCTGCCAGCCATGGCAGCGGCAGGAGGATGGGTAAGGACCCATTCACAGTCCCTTATACTTGCTGTCGTCTTGTTTAAAGCATGTTATCCCCCCCAACTAACACGACGGCTCCTTCCACAGTTCTACAATACCTGCACTTCTTTGGCACGCCCGGATACATCGCCACCGTCCTCTGCAGCACCACCATGACCCACCTCGCCTACATGGCCAGTTCCCGCTGGCTCGCGCACTGGGTGTCGGCCTACCAGGACGGCCTCGCCACCCCGTCGAGCCCGCGCGCGCTGCACTACCTCGGCGTCTTCGCGCTCCTGTGCGCGCTCGAGGCCCTCTTCGCCCTGGCGCGGCTGCTCCTCTTCGCCAACGGGGCCTGGATCGCGGCGAAACGGCTGCACTCGGCGCTGGTGGCGGCGGTGCTGGGCGCGCCGCTGGGCTGGCACGACGCGACGCCGGCGGGGCGCGTGGTCAACCGGCTCTCGCGCGACGTCGACTCGCTCGACTCGGACCTGAACCGCTCGCTCATGGCGACGCTCGGCCTGACCGTGTCCACCGCCGTGCGCCTGCTGGCCGTGACGGCCGTGCTGCCCGTCTTCGTGGCGCCCGCCCTGGTCTTTGGCGCCCTCGGCGGCCTCGCCGGCGAGTTGTACACGCGCGCCGCCGTGCCCGCCAAGCGGCTCGTCTCATCCGCCCAGAGCCCCGTCTTCTCGCTCATGGGCGACACGCTGGCGGGTCTGGCCGTGATCCGCGCCACGAGGTCGAGGCCCAGGGGTCAGAATGATGATTATGATGACGGCGACGGTGACGGCAACGACCAGGGAAGCGGCGGTCTGTTCCAGGACCTGCTCGCCGACCGCCTGCGCGACTACTCGAGGGCCATGGAGGCCAACTACAACCTCAACAGGTGGGTGGCGGTCCGCATCGACCTGGCCGCTGCTTGTATCATGCTCTTCGCTGGCGTGATTGCCCTATTTTTCGGCTCATCGATACCTGCCGCCATGATCGCCTTCTCCATGTCCCAAGCCACGGGCCTGGGCGAGACGATCCTGAAGCTTGTGCGGTCGACCAACGATCTGGAGGTGGAGCTACAAAGCGTGAGTGTGCCTTGGGGAGAAGTACTTGGTGATAGACACTCGAAACCATCCCCAACTAACACGTTTCAACACAAAAACCGCTAGTTTGCCCGAGTCCGCGAGTACATAGAGATCAAGCCCGAGGACGCAGACGAAGACGATCTAGACCCGGAGCCGCGCGCCTCCTGGCCCGAGCACGGCGGCGTGGTGTTCGACCGGGCCACGGTGCGGTACCGGCCCGACGGGCCCGACATCCTGCGCGACGTCAGCCTCTCCGTCGCCCCGGGGGAGCGGTGCGCCGTGGTCGGGCGGACGGGCTCGGGCAAGAGCACGCTGATGCTGTCGCTGATGCGCTTCACGCACGTGGCCTCGGGCGCCATCACGTACGGCGGCCTCGACGTCTCGGCCGTGCCGCGCCGCGTCCTGCGCTCGCGCCTGACCGTCATCCCGCAGGAGGCCGTCCTGCTCGCCGGCTCGGTCCGCTCCAACCTGGACCCGACGGGCGAGGTGCCCGACGACGAGCTCAACGCGGCCCTCGCCGAGTGCGCCAGGAGCGCGTCGCTCTCGCACCTTGTTGTTGCTAACGATGGTGATGATGAGGAGGAGGAGCAAGACATGGGAGGTAGCAGCAGCAGTGGCCCAGCAGCGCCTCGTGAAGGTGCAAAGCAGCAGGCGGGGGGCGGGGAGGCACAAGAAGAACAAGATGAGCAGCAACAGCACGCAGAAGAAGTCGAAGAAGACGAAGAGGAACCTTCGGAACGGACCGCCCTCTTGGGAATACGCCCCGCCACCACATCACCAACACCAGCACCCGCCCAGGCGGCGCGCACGACGGGCCTCAGCCTAGACAGCGAGGTCGAGCCGGCCGGGGCCAACTTCTCGCACGGGCAGCGGCAGATCCTGTCGCTATGCCGGGCGCTCGTGCGGTCGCGCACCATGCGGCCGCCGGGCCGGCTCATGATGCTGGACGAGGCCACGGCCTCGATGGACGACAAGGCCGACGAGATGGCCCAGGACGTGCTGCGCTGCGAGCTGGCGCGCGACGAGGAGGAGGAGGAGCAAGGCCACAACCCCAAGGACCCCGAACGCGACCGCGGCCGCACCCTCATCACCATCGCGCATCGCCTCTCGACCATCATGGACTACGACAAGGTCGTCGTCATGGACCAGGGAACCGTCAGGGAGGTCGGCGTACCCCGCGAGCTAGAGCACAAGCCGGGCTCGCTTTTTGCCGAGATGGTGCTCGCTGAGCGGCTTAGATCCGAGTGAACTGATCAGAACTACGGATATGCATCTTCCACTTGACCTCTCGTTGATTTTATGTACATTGCGTTGTGCATTAGGCAGCCGATGCTAGGAGACTCGGGCTTTGTTTTCTTGTGCAAGGATAAGCACACATCTCCTCAGCCATTCCCACTTCATTGGAGACGTTCCAAAGGCACTGGAAAACGGGCACTCCAGGTAACCAAGGCTGGAAGACTTGGGCTTTGTTTTCTTGTGCAAAGATAAGCACATATCGCGTTGACATTCCCACTACTTCATTGAAGACCTTCTAAAGAGATTGAGACTGGAAGTGGACACTCCAGGTAGCAGACCTAAATGGTTATCAATACAAAAATCGCCATCGGAAGTAAATGCTCACTGCCCAAGAAAGGATAACAAGGCAAGCAAGAGAAAAAAGCGCGACAAGCATGTAGTGATAGGCCCAAAAGAACAAAAGAACATCGGCACAAAAAGCAAAAAGATCACTGCCCAGCCTATATTAAACCGACCGCAGGGTGTAGCAGTTGCGAAAACCATCCGGTTAATATGGTTTTCTTCGAAGTTTTTTTTTCCGCACCCCATACGGGGGATCGAACCCGTGCTCCCAAATCTGTTAAATTAGGGCTCAACGGCTACGGTTAACCATTACACCAAAGCGCACGATCTTTAAGTGTCCGGGTTCGATGACTACAGCAGTCGGATGGACGTTTATATCAGATGGTCTGGGGCCAGGCAGCAGCAGGCAGGAGCAACACGGGCACGAGGCTCCACCTCGCTCTCGTCTTGATATTGATATCAGACTCTCGTCAGACTGTGGCCACCTGTGCTGTCTGGTGTCCCACTTGGGGGTTCGTCACTTTCTCCAGTGCCTACTTGAAATCAAAGCGCAGCACAAACGCACAGAAGGACTGCATGTC